GTTCTGCTGAAACACATCCCTCACTCTCTCCGATACGACCTGAGGAAGTTCTGCTGAAACACATCCCTCACTCTCTCCTGATACGACTGAGGAAGTTCTGCTGAAACACATCCCTCACTCTCTCCTATACGACCTGAGGAAGTTCTGCTGAAACACATCCCTCACTCTCCTCCTGATCGACCTGAGGAAGTTCTGCTGAAACACATCCCTCACTCTCTCCAGATACGACCTGAGGAAGTTCTGATGAAACACATCCCTCACTCTCTCCAGATACGACCTGAGGAAGTTCTGCTGAAACACATCCCTCACTCTCTCCAGATACGACCTGAGGAAGTTCTGATGAAACACATCCCTCACTCTCTCCTGATACGACCTGAGGAAGTTCTGATGAAACACATCCCTCACTCTCTCCAGATACGACCTGAGGAAGTTCTGATGAAACACATCCCTCACTCTCTCCAGATACGACCTGAGGAAGTTCTGATGAAACACATCCCTCACTCTCTCCTGATACGACCTGAGGAAGTTCTGATGAAACACATCCCTCACTCTCTCCAGATACGACCTGAGGAAGTTCTGCTGAAACACATCCCTCACTCTCTCCAGATACGACCTGAGGAAGTTCTGCTGAAACACATCCCTCACTCTCTCCAGATACGACCTGAGGAAGTTCTGCTGAAACACATCCCTCACTCTCTCCAGATACGACCTGAGGAAGTTCTGATGAAACACATCCCTCACTCTCTCCTGATACGACCTGAGGAAGTTCTGCTGAAACACATCCCTACTCTCTCCTGATACGACCTGAGGAAGTTCTGCTGAAACACATCCCTCACTCTCTCCGATACGACCTGAGGAAGTTCTGATGAAACACATCCCTCACTCTCTCCAGATACGACCTAGGAAGTTCTGCTGAAACACATCCTCACTCTCTCCAGATACGACCAGAGGAAGTTCTGATGAAACACATCTCCCTCACTCTCTCCAGATACGACCTGAGGAAGTTCTGCTGAAACATCCCTCACTCTCTCCAGATACGACCTGAGGAAGTTCTGCTGAAACATCCCTCACTCTCTCCAGATACGACCTGAGGAAGTTCTGATGAAACACATCCCTCACTCTCTCCAGATACGACCTGAGGAAGTTCTGCTGAAACACATCCCTCACTCTCTCCTGATACGACCTGAGGAAGTTCTGCTGAAACACATCCCTCACTCTCCTGATACGACCTGAGGAAGTTCTGATGAAACACATCCCTCACTCTCTCCTGATACGACCTGAGGAAGTTCTGCTGAAACACATCCCTCACTCTCTCCTGATACGACCTGAGGAAGTTCTGCTGAAACACATCCCTCACTCTCTCCTGATACGACCTGAGGAAGTTCTGATGAAACACATCCCTCACTCTCTCCTATACGACCTGAGGAAGAGTCTGCTGAAAACACATCCTCATCCAGATACGACTGAGGAAGTTCTGCTGAAACACTCCCTCACTCTCTCCTGATACGCCTGAGGAAGTTCTGCTGAAAACACATCCCTCACTCTTCCAGATACGACCTGAGGAAGTTCTGCTGAAACACATCCCTCACTCTCTCCTGATAACGAACCTGAGGAAGTTTCTGATGAAACACATCCCTCACTCTCTCCAGATACGACCTGAGGAAGTTCTGATGAAACACATCCCTCACTCTCTCAGATAGACCTGAGGAAGTTCCTGATGAAACACATCCCCTCACTCTCTCCTGTGATACGACCCGTGAGGAAGTTCTGACTAGAAACACACATCCCCTCACTCTCTCCTGATACGACCTGAGGAAGTTCTGCTGAAACACATCCCTCACTCTCTCCTGATACGACCTGAGGAGTTCTGATGAAACACATCCCTCACTCTCTCCAGATACGACCTGAGGAAGTTCTGCTGAACACATCCCTCACTCTCTCCAGATACGACCTGAGGAAGTTCTGCTGAAACACATCCCTCACTCTCTCCTGATACGACCTGAGGAAGTTCTGCTGAAACACATCCCTCACTCTCTCCAGATACGACCTGAGGAAGTTCTGCTGAAACACATCCCTCACTCTCTCCAGATACGACCTGAGGAAGTTCTGCTGAAACACATCCCTCACTCTCTCCTGATACGACCTGAGGAAGTTCTGATGAAACACATCCCTCACTCTCTCCAGATACGACCTGAGGAAGTTCTGCTGAAACACATCCCTCACTCTCTCCTGATACGACCTGAGGAAGTTCTGCTGAAACACATCCCTCACTCTCTCCAGATACGACCTGAGGAAGTTCTGATGAAACACATCCCTCACTCTCTCCAGATACGACCTGAGGAAGTTCTGATGAAACACATCCCTCACTCTCTCCTGATACGACCTGAGGAAGTTCTGATGAAACACATCCCTCACTCTCTCCAGATACGACCTGAGAAGTTCTGATGAAAAATCCAGATCATCTGAGGAAGTTCTGATGAAACACATCCCTCACTCTCTCCAGATACGACCTGAGGAAGTTCTGATGAAACACATCCCTCACTCTCTCCAGATACGACCTGAGGAAGTTCTGATGAAACACATCCCTCACTCTCTCCAGATACGACCTGAGGAAGTTCTGATGAAACACATCCCTCACTCTCTCCAGATACGACCTGAGGAAGTTCTGCTGAACACATCCCTCACTCTCTCCATGATTACGACCTGAGGAAGTTCTGATGAAACACATCCCTCACTCTCTCCAGATACGACCTGAGGAAGTTCTGCTGAAACACATCCCTCACTCTCTCCAGATACGACCTGAGGAAGTTCTGATGAAACACATCCCTCACTCTCTCCAGATACGACCTGAGGAAGTTCTGATGAAAACACATCCCTCACTCTCTCCTGATACGACCTGAGGAAGTTCTGATGAAACACATCCCTCACTCTCTCTCAGATACGACCTGAGGAAGTTCTGCTGAAACACATCCCTCACTCTCTCCTAGATACGACCTGAGGAAGTTCTGATGAAACACATCCCTCACTCTCTCCAGATACGACCTGAGGAAGTTCTGCTGAAACACATCCCTCACTCTCTCCTGATACGACCTGAGGAGTTCTGATGAAACACATCCCTCACTCTCTCCAGATACGACCTGAGGAAGTTCTGCTGAAACACATCCCTCACTCTCTCCAGATACGACCTGAGGAAGTTCTGCTGAAACACATCCCTCACTCTCTCCTGATACGACCTGAGGAAGTTCTGCTGAAAACACAATCCCTCACTCTCTCCAGATACGACCTGAGGAAGTTCTGCTGAAACACATCCCTCACTCTCTCCAGATACGACCAGAGGAAGTTCTGCTGAAACACATCCCTCACTCTCTCCTGATACGACCTGATGAAGTTCTGATGAAACACATCCCTCACTCTCTCCTGATACGACCTGAGGAAGTTCTGATGAAAACACATCCCTCACTCTCTCCAGATACGACCTGAGGAAGTTCTGATGAAACACATCCCTCACTCTCTCCAGATACGACCTGAGGAAGTTCTGATGAAACACATCCCTCACTCTCTCCAGATACGACCTGAGGAAGTTCTGATGAAAAACATCCCTCACTCTCTCCTGATACAACCTGAGGAAGTTCTGATGAAACACATCCCTCACTCTCTCCTGATACAACCTGAGGAAGTTCTGATGAAACACATCCCTCACTCTCTCCAGATACGACCTGAGGAAGTTCTGCTGAAACACATCCCTCTCTCTCTCCTGATACGACCTGAGGAAGTTCTGCTGAAACACATCCCTCACTCTCTCCTGATACGACCTGAGGAAGTTCTGCTGAAACACATCCCTCACTCTCTCCAGATACGACCTGAGGAAGTTCTACTGAAACACATCCCTCACTCTCTCCTGATACGGCTCAGGAGTCAGTGGACCGCTCGGTGAGGAGGTTCAGACTTGAGGAGCCGGTCCACACCAACGCCATGTGTTATTTTATATGTGTTCCCTGTCCTCTGGTCACCTGAGGATGTTTTAAATGTGCTATATAAATACATAACGATTGTAGAATTAAAAACACTGAAAGCGTCATTTCATTTCCTCTTTATTGTCAAAAAAATGTACAGACAGTGAAAGTAAAAGCACAGATTTCATTTTTCATAAAGACCTTTTTTTTTTTCATCATGATGGGGCAAAGTAGAGTTGCTGAACGTGTGCAGCGCTCAGCATGCAAACACCTCACAGTCTGAAACCAAAACACCCACACAGGAAAGCTGAATGTCCCGGAGAGGAACGTGTCTTTGAACGCCTCTCCGGGTACTAAAAGTTAGACAGGAACCACGGCAACATCAGAACCAGAGGAGGCGTGTTCTTCACATCAGAAAAACTCCAGCTCATTGAGTTTAAAATGAGCTCGTCTTGTTCTGATGTTGCTTTCAAATCAGTGAACTTAAAGAGGCCCAATTCTGTTCCTTTAAAGGGTTGATATTAGTGTCTCCGTGCTTTAATGCTCAATGTATGTTTCTCATACTGCCTGTTCTCACCCCGTCTGAAACCAGAGCTGGGTTGTGATTCATCAACCACTTAGAGATGTCCCGCCCCCTAACCCTAGCACGTACAATGTGTTGGAGGAAAAAGTTATACTTTAGGATTTTAACAACGTCACATTTTGAGATTTCCTGAAAAAAATAACAAAAAAATTCTAACATTTTCAGAAAAAAAGCCAGAGCCCAGTCCGCTCTGATTGGTTAGCTGGCTGGCTTTGTTGTGATTGGTCAACCAGCTTAGAGATGTCCCGCGCCCTCAGCCTATCAATGTGTCGGAGCGCTATAGTGATGTCACTATGCTCTGGAAGTGTGTAGGAGAGAAACTACAGGAAGCCCCCCCTCAAAAAGCAGAATATAGGGCCTCTTTAAACGGTGATCCACCCCTTGATTAAAAGCTTTAAATACAGTCGTGGGTATACGGTGTGATCTCCACACGTGTCACACAGGATTTAGAGCGGCACAAACACACACACGGTGAAACGCAGTCTACAAAACAAGTCCCTCAGACTGAATACTGGCCGAGTTAAAGAGCGACGACACGCTGACGCTCTGCGCGATTTACAGCTGCGTGTCGTCGCTCTTTAATAACAAATCCACACTGGAGAGCCGGCCGAATGCTGCGGCTGCTTCAAGGGTTTAGAGTCCAGTGTGGAGTCGCCTTTAAACTGCAACGCCTCCTAAAACAGAGGCACGCAAAGACCAAACTAAATCTAAACATTATTTCTTGGACAGAGCCACAACTTGATAAAAACCATAAAGAAGAAGTCAGTGGATTTTCAATTAAAAATAAAGTAAAACCTGCTAACTCTAATAACGAGACACGTGTTTTCAGTCACTGGATTTGAAACCAGTGCACCAACTGGGAAAGGTGGATCTTTTTTAAAAAGGAGACAAACATCCTGACCTGAATGCTATGACACCTCAAACCCTGATGCATTCAAAGACAGTCCGTGAACGCAGGACTGCTCATTAGACCGCATTATGCCATCCACAGAAAACAATAGCCAGATATTTTAATCGTGTAACTGTTTGCATGAAAAGACGTCTAAAGAAGCTGCTTCCAGCCTCTCAGATATGAAGCTTGTCTGATTTATTGTATTTAAAGTGATATCTTTTGTCTTAAGGACTGATTTCAGGACATTTTAAAGCCCGACCTGGAGAAAATAACCGGCAGATAAATGGATATATAGATAGAGTTGCGTCCCTACTAGTCGTAGTGCTGTCTGTTAAAGATAAACCAGGAAAAGGAATCGGATTTATATTCATAATAAAAAGGCCTGACCTACATACCGTAGCACTGGAACAGTTACTCATTAACACAAGATCATAGTCCTGCGTCATTTCACAATTAAACATTTTATAAACCAAATTAGAGGCAGACATTATAAATGTGTGCGTTTGAAATAATTTCTTCTTTTATCCTGTGTTTAGCAGCAGGCGTGTAGCTCCTCTTCGTCCTCGTCTTCACCCGGACGGCCCGAGGGTAACCTACAGAATTCGGGTTTTTTTTTTTTTTGTGGACAAAGCCAGACCCGTTTTACACCTTGTTGCTCCAGAGGGATGTTGGAAACAAAATGTAGGAGACTGACCACAACAGGTAGTACACACATGCGGGGGGGGAAGGAAGAGCAGAACACCATGGCGACTCCTGGAAATAAAAAAAATATAGAATTTGTGAGAAGAGGATAAGCAATTAAAAAAAACACATTAAAACTCAAGAGCTACGGTAACCTACGGAGGCCGACAGGTGCTAACAGGTGCTAACGTGCTACAACCTCTTCCATCACGAGAAGCAGCTTCAGACAGGATGCAGATACAAAACCCAAAGGTTCCACACATCTTAACACATGCAGCGTTTAGAGAACATTCAGCAACTTGAGGAGACATGGCAGCGTGTGCGTCACTCTTTAGTGTCCCCTGGTCTCCAGCTGTGTGCGTCACTCTTTAGTGTCCCCTGGTCTCCAGCTGTGTGCGTCACTCTTTAGTGTCCCCTGGTCTCCAGCTGTGTGCGTCACTCTTTAGTGTCCCCTGGTCTCCAGCTGTGTGCGTCACTCTTTAGTGTCCCCTGGTCTCCAGCTGTGTGCGTCACTCTTTAGTGTCCCCTGGTCTCCCAGCTGTGTGCGTCACTCTTTAGTGTCCCCTGGTCTCCAGCTGTGTGCATCACTCTTTAGTGTCCCCTGGTCTCCCAGCTGTGTGCGTCACTCTTTAGTGTCCCCTGGTCTCCCAGCTGTGTGCGTCACTCTTTAGTGTCCCCTGGTCTCCAGCTGTGTGCGTCACTCTTTAGTGTCCCCTGGTCTCCCAGCTGTGTGCCTCACTCTTTAGTGTCCTCTGGTCTCCCAGCTGTGTGCGTCACTCTTTAGTGTCCCCTGGTCTCCAGCTGTGTGCGTCACTCTTTAGTGTCCCCTGGTCTCCAGCTGTGTGCGTCACTCTTTAGTGTCCCCTGGTCTCCCAGCTGTGTGTGTCACTCTTTAGTGTCCCCTGGTCTCCAGCTGTGTGCGTCACTCTTTAGTGTCCCCTGGTCTCCCAGCTGTGTGCGTCACTCTTTAGTGTCCCCTGGTCTCCAGCTGTGTGCGTCACTCTTTAGTGTCCCCTGGTCTCCCAGCTGTGTGCGTCACTCTTTAGTGTCCCCTGGTCTCCAGCTGTGTGTGTCACTCTTTAGTGTCCCCTGGTCTCCCAGCTGTGTGCGTCACTCTTTAGTGTCCCCTGTTCTCCCAGCTGTGTGCGTCACTCTTTAGTGTCCCCTGGTCTCCAGCTGTGTGCGTCACTCTTTAGTGTCCCCTGGTCTCCCAGCTGTGTGCGTCACTCTTTAGTGTCCCCTGGTCTCCAGCTGTGTGTGTCACTCTTTAGTGTCCCCTGGTCTCCCAGCTGTGTGCGCGTCACTCTTTAGTGTCCCCTGTTCTCCCAGCTGTGTGCGTCACTCTTTAGTGTCCCCTGGTCTACAGCTGTGTGTGTCACTCTTTAGTGTCCCCTGGTCTCCAGCTGTGTGCGTCACTCTTTAGTGTCCCCCGGGCTCTCAGCTGTGCGCGTCACTCTTTAGTGTCCCCTGGTCTCCCAGCTGTGTGCATCACTCTTTAGTGTCCCCTGGTCTCCAGCTGTGTGTGTCACTCTTTAGTGTCCCCTGGTCTCCCAGCTGTGTGCGTTACTCTTTAGTGTCCCCTGGTCTCCCAGCTGTGTGCGTCACTCTTTAGTGTCCCCTGGTCTCCCAGCTGTGTGCGTCACTCTTTAGTGTCCCCTGGTCTCCCAGCTGTGTGCGTCACTCTTTAGTGTCCCCTGGTCTCCAGCTGTGTGCGTCACTCTTTAGTGTCCCCTGTTCTCCCAGCTGTGTGCGTCACTCTTTAGTGTCCCCTGGTCTCCAGCTGTGTGAGTCACTCTTTAGTGTCCCCTGGTCTCCAGCTGTGTGCGTCACTCTTTAGTGTCCCCTGGTCTCCAGCTGTGTGCGTCACTCTTTAGTGTCCCCTGGTCTTTTAGTAAACGCTGCCATGTCTCCTCAAGCTGCTGAATGTTCTCTAAACGCTGCATGTGTTGTTGTGAAGATGTTTCTTCATGTGGAACCTTTGGGTTTTGTCTCTGCATCCTTTCTGAAGATGCAGCACTTTTCTTCTGATGAAAGTATGTAGGATTGTTGAAACTTATTTGCACCTGTCGGCTTCCGTAGTTATTATGGAATAATCTGCCGATTATTTTCTAGACCAGTAATTCCCAAACTCTTGTTTACTTGCTTACGGTCTACCAACTCGACCCAAACTGTCATCAACTTGAATCCAAAAAAATCTTTTTATTTCAGACAACAGTTGTTTATCACATATACACATCACATTACAATGATGTAAACATAAGCTGTTCAATATTTCAGAACTTAAATTTGGTTGGACTTGACTTTGGCGTGAATTAGCATCGTTAGCGTTAGCTTGACAAGACTGTATTCGGACTCCTTAGTTGGACAATTAAAATTTAAAAAAGCTAAAGGGTCCAAAAAACAGTTTCCAAGTGAAAACGCCGGGCCGACGGGTCAAAGTCAGACGAACATTTAGCTGCTGAAGACGAGTTGCCATTGGCAGCTGAGCCGCGCCACTTCTAGCAAGAAAATGAATCGACACCAACATCAACCTGGGGTTTAGAGAGATTTGGTTTTTGTACATACTGTAAAAAGTTTGGGAACCTCTGTTCTAGATGAAAATAATCATCGTCAGAAAAAATAGAAAAAGTCCATGCTGATATCTTTAAAATATGGGTCTTTAACAGGGGGTCCGTAACCCCTGATGGGCGCTCTGAGTACACAAACTACTGTTTTCAATGAAAATTTAAATAAGTCTGAAAATACATTATACAGTAACATGTATACAACATATTATTATTGAGAATAAATCGGCCTATTCGGAAAAAACAAACAAAAAAAACAACATTTATTTTACACAACATAATAAAAGTCTAACGGTTAGTTATGAATCCAAGCAAAGCTAGCTCACCTGCGCTAAATCAGGGTATAACAACTATTCATATCAGCCAACTAATCAGCTGTGGCAACGTTTTAATATTTACTTAGCTTCATATTGTTTGCACCATACAAATATTTACATCTCCACTTTCTTGTGGTGTCCCTCAGGGCTCAGTTCTTGGTCCATTCTTGTTCATTATTCAAATTCTCCTTCTTACATATTTATTTAAGGAATGTAAACAAAAAGCAGATCTTATGATAAGAATGTATGCACCTTTGTGTTAAAACGCTTCTGACTGTAAGACACCGAGTTTTAGAACAATGCAAAATGGGAAATATGGAGTTAAAGGGGCCCTATTCTGCCTATTCATAATACTATGTAGTGTCTCTACTTTAAAGAGTCCTCTCCTGCTGATGTTCAGGTGTATATCAGTATGTAATGTCTCTACTTTAAAGAGTCCTCTCCTGCTGATGTTCAGGTGTATATCAGTATGTAGTGTCTCTACTTTAAAGAGTCCTCTCCTGCTGATGTTCAGGTGTATATCAGTATGTAGTGTCTCTACTTTAAAGAGTCCTCTCCTGCTGATGTTCAGGTGTATATCAGTATGTAGTGTCTCTACTTTAAAGAGTCCTCTCCTGCTGATGTTCAGGTGTATATCAGTATGTAGTGTCTCTACTTTAAAGAGTCCTCTCCTGCTGATGTTCAGGTGTATATCAGTATGTAGTGTCTCTACTTTAAAGAGTCCTCTCCTGCTGATGTTCCGGTGTATATCAGTATGTAGTGTCTCTACTTTAAAGAGTCCTCTCCTGCTGATGTTCAGGTGTATATCAGTGTGTAGTGCCTCTACTTTAAAGAGTCCTCTCCTGCTGATGTTCAGGTGATGTTCAGGTGTATATCAGTGTGTAGTGCCTCTACTTTAAAGAGTCCTCTCCTGCTGATGTTCAGGTGTATATCAGTATGTAGTGTCTCTACTTTAAAGAGTCCTCTCCTGCTGATGTTCAGGTGTATATCAGTATGTAGTGTCTCTACTTTAAAGAGTCCTCTCCTGCTGATGTTCAGGTGTATATCAGTGTGTAGTGCCTCTACTTTAAAGAGTCCTCTCCTGCTGATGTTCAGGTGTATATCAGTGTGTAGTGCCTCTACTTTAAAGAGTCCTCTCCTGCTGATGTTCAGGTGTATATCAGTGTGTAGTGCCTCTACTTTAAAGAGTCCTCTCCTGCTGATGTTCAGGTGTATATCAGTATGTAGTGTCTCTACTTTAAAGAGTCCTCTCCTGCTGATGTTCAGGTGTATATCAGTATGTAGTGTCTCTACTTTAAAGAGTCCTCTCCTGCTGATGTTCAGGTGTATATCAGTATGTAGTGTCTCTACTTTAAAGAGTCCTCTCCTGCTGATGTTCAGGTGTATATCAGTGTGTAGTGCCTCTACTTTAAAGAGTCCTCTCCTGCTGATGTTCAGGTGTATATCAGTGTGTAGTGCCTCTACTTTAAAGAGTCCTCTCCTGCTGATGTTCAGGTGTATATCAGTGTGTAGTGTCTCTACTTTAAAGAGTCCTCTCCTGCTGATGTTCAGGTGTATATCAGTATGTAGTGTCTCTACTTTAAAGAGTCCTCTCTTTAAAAGTGTTGTTGAAGGCCTAGTTTAATATGAAACTCAAGCTACCGATCCGACTACATTTCACTGCTGATTTAAATTCAGTCCGACAGTTTGTTTCTATTTGCAGTTTAAGGTCTCCCCTCTTAAATGTTTTGGATATGTAATACATCAATATGGCTACAATTTCCACTTGTATGCTGACGATATGCAACTCTATATATGCACATCAGCTCTCTGACACCCGTGGGTAACTATGTTAATGCTCAGATTACCTGCAATTACCTTACACTTAATCTCGTTACATTTGAGGTTATCCTCCGTGCTGCCACAGCCAAACTTTGCCAACATTCACTTCTAAATCTGTCCATGGTTTCATTATCGAGGTCAGAAATGTAGGAGTAACTTAAGACTTCTCTCAGGGTCTGAATAACTCTTTTTTACATTTCCCAGTGCTTCGTAATGTTTTAATTAAGGACATATTTGTATCTGTACATATTATTAAATCACAGTTTGTCATTATTATAACGCTCTTTTCTTTTTACTTTTGCATTTTACTAAAGCTAAAGGTAGCTAATGTTGGGCTATAAAGGAACTACAGCACGGTCACGTGACTTCACGTCACCACCGCTAAGCTAAAGGAGGCTAATGTTGGGCTATAAAGGAACTACAGCACGGTCACATGACTTCACGTCACCACCGCTAAGCTAAAGGAGGCTAATGTTGGGCTATAAAGGAACTACAGCACGGTCACATGACTTCACGTCACCACCGCTAAGCTAAAGGAGGATAATGTTGGGCTATAAAGGCACTACAGCACGGTCACATGACTTCACGTCACCACCGCTAAGCTAAAGGAGGCTAATGTTGGGCTATAAAGGCACTACAGCACGGTCACATGACTTCACGTCACCACCGCTAAGCTAAAGGTGGCTAATGTTGGGCTATAAAGGAACTACAGTACGGTCACATGACTTCACGTCAACACCGCTAAGCTAAAGGAGGCTAATGTTGGGCTATAAAGGAACTACAGCACGGTCACATGACTTCACGTCACCACCGCTAAGCTAAGGAGGCTAATGTTGGGCTATAAAGGAACTACAACACGGTCACATGACTTCACGTCACCACCGCTAAGCTAAAGGAGGCTAATGTTGGGCTATAGAGGAACTACAGCACGGTCACATGACTTCACGTCACCACCGCTAAGCTAAAGGTGGCTAATGTTGGGCTATAAAGGAACTACAGCACGGTCATGTGACTTCACGTCACCACCGCTAAGCTAAAGGTGGCTAATGTTGGGCTATAAAGGAACTACAGCACGGTCATGTGACTTCACGTCACCACCGCTAAGCTAAAGGAGGCTAATGTTGGGCTATAAAGGAACTACAACACGGTCACATGACTTCACGTCACCACCGCTAAGCTAAAGGAGGCTAATGTTGGGCTATAGAGGAACTACAGCACGGTCACATGACTTCACGTCACCACCGCTAAGCTAAAGGAGGCTAATGTTGGGCTATAAAGGAACTACAGCACAGTCACATGACTTCACGTCACCACCGCTAAGCTAAAGGTGGCTAATGTTGGGCTATAAAGGAACTACAGCACGGTCACATGACTTCACGTCACCACCGCTAAGCTAAAGGTGGGTAATGTTGGGCTATAAAGGAACTACAGCACGGTCATGTGACTTCACGTCACCACCGCTAAGCTAAAGGTGGCTAATGTTGGGCTATAAAGGAACTACAGCACAGTCATGTGACTTCACGTCACCACCGCTAAGCTAAAGGAGGCTAATGTTGGGCTATAAAGGAACTACAACACGGTCACATGACTTCACGTCACCACCGCTAAGCTAAAGGAGGCTAACGTTGCTTCATCTTGTGTTAACCACCTTATTTTCCTCGACGCTACCATAAGTGGAAAGAAATGAAAGTGAGATGAGTGAAAAGGTGTGTGAGATGGTCTTTACCTCCAGCGTACACTGCCTTCTTCCAGGCCTGGGACTCGAGCACGCGGTCGTGAGGGTAGAAGCTCTGGCTGATCATGAAGAGGATCATGGCCACAGCGATGATGCGCAGCATCGGGAGGTTCCCCCCCGACAGCAGGGAGGCGCTGGCCAGGATCCCAGAGGAGTAGATGCAGGGGAGACCACGGTACATGAAGGGGACTCCTGTGGGAATAACAACACAAAACTACACTTAGACATGTTCATATTGAACAGCATGCATATTAAAACCGCCAGAAGAGTCTGTTAGGTTCAGAAAGTAACAGCACTTTAACACAGCTTTTAAAACCAGTATTTTTAAACATGAGTATCTGTACTTCTACTAGAGTTAAGGATGTGTTTAGTGTAACTCTCACCACTGGTGTAGAAACAGAGGCGGACGAACACTGAAAGCACGTAGCAGACACACAGGATGTTGTCCATCAGGTCTGTGGTCCTCAGCAGTAGAGAGGTGGCGATGCCGAACGTCGTGAAGTCGGCAAAATCATCCAGCTTTGCACCTGAACGCAACATAGACAAATGCGACAGTGTTAGATATAAACAATTCCAGAAATGTGTTTCATCCCACAGGCTATAAGACTGTTCAACACCTGAACTCTTGAAAGAACATCCATAACATTCATCTGTTTGCATCTTGTAAATTATTTATATTTACTTGCACTATTTTATCTGTGTTATTGTGTTGCACTGTGGGAGGAGCCTGTGACCTCAGAATTTCATTGACATAACTACACTGTACACATGACAATAAAAGCCTTGAATCTTGAACCTTAGTCACACATTGCATTGTGAATAACAGGATTTATTAAAGCTCCCATTGATGCCACAGCTTCCAGCTTTGCACCTGAACGCAGCACGGAAAAAAATGAGACCGTTTTTTCAGTCTTGTTTTCTGAGCATTGTTGAATGTGTTGGAGGTGGAGGAGTTGGGTACGTTTGGGGACATTTCCTCACATAGATAACATCTGTTGGACACACTAGGTTAGTGGATTGTTACTTTGTCCCATTCTTAGTAGTTCAGATAGTGAGGGTTGGTTTCAAAGGATAGATTCAGAGATAGGCCTCGTTTTGTTATATTTGTTTCTATGGTTTGGCACAATCTCCTTTGTTTTCCTCCTCCTCACTTAAAGAACATTTGTAATTCAACATAAATATTTTCTACTCTTTATTGCCATTGATATTACATATTAAATGTTTATTTCTTGTCTTTTCATTTTATTGTACAATGTCATGTCTTTTTATGCTGCTGCAACACAAACATTTCCCAACTGTAGATCAATAAAGTACTTCTGATCTTATCTTCTTTGTTGGCAGCATTCTTTGTTTAAAAGGAATAAACATTTTAGTTAACGTTCAAACTCCCTTTGACTCCCTCGGTTATTGGTTGTTTTTTGTTACTGCCCCCTAGACCAGTGGTTCCCAACCTTTTTCCCCTCAGGGCCCACTTAAGAATCTAAAATATTTTCGCGGCGCACATTCAACCATAAACAATGCGGAGGCTAAATAAAGTTCTGATTGGTCGATTCAGAACATGTGACACGTTGTTAATCCAGTAGAACAGACCGCTGTCAAGGACTGTAATGACCGTGTTGCTAAGGACTGTATTGACCATTGCTAAGGACAGTAATAACCGCTGCTAAGGACTGTAATGACCGCTGCTAAGGACTGTAATGACCGTTGCTAAGGACTGTAATGACCGCTGCTAAGGACTGTAATGACCGCTGTTAAGGACTGTAATGACCGCTGTTAAGGACTGTAATGACCGTGTTGCTAAGGACTGTATTGACCATTGCTAAGGACTGTAATGACCACTGCTAAGGACTGTAATGACCACTGCTAAGGACTGTAATGACCGCTGCTAAGGACTGTAATGACCGCTGCTAAGGACTGTAATGACCGTGTTGCTAAGGACTGTATTGACCATTGCTAAGGACTGTAATGACCGCTGTTAAGGACTGTAATGACCGTTACTAAGGACTGTAATGACCGTGTTGCTAAGGACTGTATTGACTATTGCCAAGGACTGTAATGACCGCTGTCAAGGACTGTATTGTCCGTTACTAAGGACTGTAATGACCGTGTTGCTAAGGACTGTATTGACTATTGCCAAGGACTGTAATGACCGCTGTCAAGGACTGTAATGTTCGTTACTAAGGACTGTAATGACCGTGTTGCTAAGGACTGTATTGACCGTGTTGCTAAGAAATGTATTGACCATTGCTAAGGACTGTAATGACCGTTGCTAAGGACTGTAATGACTGTTGCTAAAGACTGTAATGACTGTTGCTATGGACTGTAATGACTGCTGTTAAGGACTATAATGACTGTTGCTATGGACTGTAATGACCGTTGCTATGGACTGTAATGACCGTTGCTAAGGACTGTAATGACCGCTGTCAAGGACTGTAATGACCGCTGCTAAGGACTGTATTGACCATTGCTAAGGACTGTAATGACCGCTGTTAAGGACTGTAATGACCGTGTTGCTAAGGATTGTATCGACCATTGCTAAGGACTGTAATGACCACTGCTAAGGACTGTAATGACCGCTGCTAAGGACTGTAATGACCGCTGCTAAGGACTGTAATGACCGCTGCTAAGGACTGTAATGACCGCTGCTAAGGACTGTAATGACCGTGTTGCTAAGGACTGTAATGACCATTGCTAAGGACTGTAATGACCGTTACTAAGGACTGTAATGACCAGGTTGCTAAGGGCTGTATTGACCATTGCTAAGGACTGTAATGACCGCTGTTAAGGACTGTAATGTCCGTTACTAAGGACTGTAATGACCGTGTTGCTAAGGACTGCATTGACCATTGCTAAGGACTGTAATGACCATTGCTAAGGACTGTAATGACCACTGCTAAGGACTGTAATGACCGCTGTCAAGGACTGTAGTGTCCGTTACTAAGGACTGTAATGTCCGTTACTAAGGACTGTAATGTCCGTTACTAAGGACTGTAATGACCGTGTTGCTAAGGACTGTAATGACCGTGTTGCTAAGGACTGTAATGACCGTGTTGCTAGGACTGTATTGACCATTGTTAAGGACTGTATTGACCGTGTTGCTAAGGACTGTATTGACCATTGCTAAGGACGGTAATGACGCTGTTAAGGACTGTAATGACCGTGTTGCTAAGGATTGTAATGACCGTGTTGCTAAGGAATGTATTGACCATTGATAAGGCCTGTAATGACCGCTGCTAAGGACTGTAATGACCGCTGCTAAGGACTGTAATGTCCGTTACTAAGGACTGTAATGACCGTGTTGCTAAGGACTGTATTGACCATTGCTAAGGACGGTAATGACGCTGTTAAGGACTGTAATGACCGCTGCTAAGGACTGTAATGACCGCTGCTAAGGACTGTAATGACCGCTGTTAAGGACTGTAATGACCGCTGTTAAGGACTGTAATGACCGTGTTGCTAAGGACTGTATTGACCATTGCTAAGGACTGTAATGACCACTGCTAAGGACTGTAATGACCACTGCTAAGGACTGTAATGACCGCTGCTAAGGACTGTAATGACCGCTGCTAAGGACTGTAATGACCGTGTTGCTAAGGACTGTATTGACCATTGCTAAGGACTGTAATGACCGCTGTTAAGGACTGTAATGACCGTTACTAAGGACTGTAATGACCGTGTTGCTAAGGACTGTATTGACTATTGCCAAGGACTGTAATGACCGCTGTCAAGGACTGTATTGTCCGTTACTAAGGACTGTAATGACCGTGTTGCTAAGGACTGTATTGACTATTGCCAAGGACTGTAATGACCGCTGTCAAGGACTGTAATGTTCGTTACTAAGGACTGTAATGACCGTGTTGCTAAGGACTGTATTGACCGTGTTGCTAAGAAATGTATTGACCATTGCTAAGGACTGTAATGACCGTTGCTAAGGACTGTAATGACTGTTGCTAAAGACTGTAATGACTGTTGCTATGGACTGTAATGACTGCTGTTAAGGACTATAATGACTGTTGCTATGGACTGTAATGACCGTTGCTATGGACTGTAATGACCGTTGCTAAGGACTGTAATGACCGCTGTCAAGGACTGTAATGACCGCTGCTAAGGACTGTATTGACCATTGCTAAGGACTGTAATGACCGCTGTTAAGGACTGTAATGACCGTGTTGCTAAGGATTGTATCGACCATTGCTAAGGACTGTAATGACCACTGCTAAGGACTGTAATGACCGCTGCTAAGGACTGTAATGACCGCTGCTAAGGACTGTAATGACCGCTGCTAAGGACTGTAATGACCGCTGCTAAGGACTGTAATGACCGTGTTGCTAAGGACTGTAATGACCATTGCTAAGGACTGTAATGACCGTTACTAAGGACTGTAATGACCAGGTTGCTAAGGGCTGTATTGACCATTGCTAAGGACTGTAATGACCGCTGTTAAGGACTGTAATGTCCGTTACTAAGGACTGTAATGACCGTGTTGCTAAGGACTGCATTGACCATTGCTAAGGACTGTAATGACCATTGCTAAGGACTGTAATGACCACTGCTAAGGACTGTAATGACCGCTGTCAAGGACTGTAGTGTCCGTTACTAAGGACTGTAATGTCCGTTACTAAGGACTGTAATGTCCGTTACTAAGGACTGTAATGACCGTGTTGCTAAGGACTGTAATGACCGTGTTGCTAAGGACTGTAATGACCGTGTTGCTAGGACTGTATTGACCATTGTTAAGGACTGTATTGACCGTGTTGCTAAGGACTGTATTGACCATTGCTAAGGACGGTAATGACGCTGTTAAGGACTGTAATGACCGTGTTGCTAAGGATTGTAATGACCGTGTTGCTAAGGAATGTATTGACCATTGATAAGGCCTGTAATGACCGCTGCTAAGGACTGTAATGACCGCTGCTAAGGACTGTAATGTCCGTTACTAAGGACTGTAATGACCGTGTTGCTAAGGACTGTATTGACCATTGCTAAGGACGGTAATGACGCTGTTAAGGACTGTAATGACCGCTGCTAAGGACTGTAATGACCGCTGCTAAGGACTGTAATGTCCGTTACTAAGGACTGTAATGACCGTGTTGCTAAGGACTGTATTGACCATTGTTAAGGACTGTAATGACCGCTGTTAAGGGCTGTTAAGGACTGTAATGACCGCTGTTAAGGACTGTAATGACCACTGTTAAGGACTGTAATGGCCGCTGCTAAGGACTGTAATGACCACTGCTAAGGACTGTAATGACCGTGTTGCTAAGGACTGTAATGACCATTGCTAAGGACTGTAATGACCGTTGTTAAGAACTGTAATGTCCGTTGCTAAGGACTGTAATGACCGTGTTGCTAAGGACTGTATTGACCATTGCTAAGGACTGTAATGACCGCTGTCAAGGACTGTAATGTCCGTTACTAAGGACTGTAATGACCGTGTTGCTCAGGACTGTAATGACCGTGTTGCTAAAGACTGTAATGACCGTGTTAATAAGGACTGTATTGACCATTGCTAAGGACTGTAAGGACCGCTGCTAAGGACTGTAATGACCGTGTTGCTAAGGACTGTATTGACCATTGCTAAGGACTGTAATGACCGCTGCTAAGGACTGTAATGACCGCTGTCAAGGACTGTAATGTTCGTTACTAAGGACTGTAATA